TGGTTAAGGTTTTTGTGCCCACAACAGAAAAACAAGGCCGCAGCCTCAACAGACTCGCCCAAAAGTAAGTCAAACTCCCCAAGTGTACCCAACATCTCCCATTCTCGGATGGCTATACTAGCTATGTCACCAACAGGTTTTCTGCTAAGGGCACCGGCCACCACATTGGCCTTTCCCGGATGATAATGCAACTCAAAGTCATAATCCTCTATGAACTCCATCCACCTCCTCTGCCTCAAGTTCAAGTCTTTCTGTGTAAACAAATATTTCAGACTCTTATGATCCGAGAACACCTCGAACCTCTCACCATAAAGATAATGCCTCCAAATCTTCAAGGCAAATATCACAGCTGCTAACTCTAGATCATGCGTAGGGTAATTCTGCTCGTAAATTTTCAACTGACGTGAGCCATAGGCAACTACTTTCCCCTCTTGCATTAACACACAACCCAGACCCTCTCGTGAGGCGTCACAATAGACTGTATAACCCAACCCTCTCTCTGGAATAATTAATACCGGTGCGGTGGTCAGTCTGACTTTCAACTCCTGGAACGACTTTTCACAAGTCTCACTCCATACAAATTTGACTCCCTTCCGAGTCAATCTAGTCAAAGGCGAAGCTAATCTGGAGAAATCTTTCACAAACCGACGATAATACCCAGCTAACCCCAGAAAACTGCGGATCTCAAACACACTCTTAGGCTGTGCCCAATCTTGCACTGCCTCAGTCTTGGATGTATCAACAGACACTCCTTCCCCAGAAACTACATGGCCTAAGAACTTGACCTCTTCTAGCCAGAACTCACACTTCCCAAACTTAGCATAAAGTTTATGGGCTCTAAGTAACTCAAGTACCACTCTCAAGTGTTCCTTGTGCTTCTCCTCAGAAGGTGAATAGATAAGGATGCCATCTACGAAGACAACTACAAAACGATCTAAAAATTCCCAGAATATTCGGTTCATCAAATCCATAAAAACTGCCGGTGCATTGGTGAGCCCAAATGGCATCACCAGAAACTCATAATGGCCATACCGCGAACGGAATGCCGTCTTCGAAATATCCTCTTCCCTGACCCTCAACTGGTGGTAACCCGATCTCAAGTCTATCTTAGAGAAACAACGGGAACCCTTCAACTGATCGAACAGATCATCTATACGAGGCATAAGATACTTATTCTTAACTGTAGCCCGATTCAATTTCCGATAATCTATACAAAGTCTCAAAGCACCACCTTTCTTTTTAACAAAGAGAACCGGTGCTCCCCACGGTGAAACACTAGGACGAATAAAGCCCTTATCTAGCAACTCCTGGAGCTGAATCTTCAACGCAACTAACTCGGCTGGGGCAAAACGATAAGGTGACATAGAAATCGGCACCGTGCCGGGCACTAGGTCAATAGAGAATTCTGGAACATGAAGGATTTGTTTCTTAAACAATTCAATAGAGAATTCAATCTCTCGATGCGGTGGCAAACCAACAAGATCCTCGGGAAAGACGTCCGAGTACTCACAAACCACCCTTGGCAACACAATCTGAGTCTCATCATCCTCACTAATCGAAAGGTTAGCAAGTAGACCACTAAGCTCACTCCGTCCTCGCGGAACATACCCCGGTGGCAACACATTACCAACCCGGCCCCCAGAAAATGAAAATACTCTCCGCTCACGGTACAACAAGTGACCCTCTGGCGGTAGCAATCAATAACTGCCCGGTATGACGATAACCAGTCCATACCCAAACTAACATCGAAACCTCTCATAGGCATAACTACAAAGGAAAATGGAATTCTATGGTAATCAACCTCTATATCACAACCCCTAACACCTTGTTTCAAAATCAATTCACCCCCAAGAGGTGACACTACACAAATAGGAGATGCTAACTGTGCCAACTTCAACTCCAAAACAGATGCAAATGCAGCAGACACAAAGGAATGGGATGCACCCGTATCAATCAAAACATTAGCAATCGAGTTGCAAAACAAGAAGGTACCTCTCACAACTGATGGTGCCGGCACAAGATCCTGCGCGGTAACAGCATACACGCGCCCAGACGACCTCTGATCAACCTGCTCACCCCTAGGAGCATAAGATTGCTGCACCGACTGGGACGATGAGCCCCCTGATTGGCCCTCGAGGCCTGACTCGACTGCGCTGGCTGCTGACCCTGAATCTGCCTCAAACCAGATGCACCAGGTGTGCCACCCAACTGCGGGCAATACCTCTTCATATGCCCTGGCTGACCACACTGATAACACGAGAGTGGCTGGCCTCTACCCTGACTCTGGCTCTGAGATCGAGCCGAAGAAGATGCTGCTCTCTGAACTCCTCCCCTCTGAGGACAAACCGGAGACTTGTGGCCCAGCTGGCCACACTTGAAACAGGTAATGGCTCCCTGACTGCCTTTCCCCGAACTAGCACTCGGCACAGCCCCTTCAAAGCCCAGTCGAGTACCCTGAGACTACGCCACATCCACTCAGCCCTTCTACTTAGCTTCCAAACCTCACTGTTCACCACTTTTCTCCTTGCCTTCTTCGAATCTACTAGAGCTCTTGTTTCTGCTAGCAAATCAAGCTTGTTCAACTCCTCTTCAGCATCCTTAAGTTTAGCTGATACATCCCCAAAAACTTCTCTATTCCACTTTCGCAAAGCCTCTCTAAGCAATTTAAGTTTACTTTGAAGAATGAAACCTGCCCACCCATCTACTCTTGTCTCCTACCAAACTTTCTCAAAAAAAGCTGAGAACTGATGGTGTAACAACCAAGCATTGATGAATCTAAAAGGTCTAGGGCCCCTATCCCTCTCCTCATCCATGAGGATTAAAGGGCAGTGATCTGATAAAATTCTAGGCAAACCCCACAACTTGAGTTTTAAAACTTCTAACCATTCTGGATTTGCTAGAAACCTATCTAACTTGCTCCACTTAACCCCTTCTTGTGCACTGCACCAAGTATACTTCCTTCCCAGCAAAGGAACTTTTGACAATTCACATGACTCAATGAAGCTATTAAATTCCTTCATACCCCTGTCCCTTCTAGAGCAGCCTATCCTCTCACCCACACATCTGATTTCATTAAAATCACCACCAAGACACCAAGGCTTAGAGAAAGTAGATTTCAACCGTACCAGAGTATCCCATAGCTTCCTTCTCCTATCCACTACATTAGGAGCATATACATTAACTAAGACACACTCAAAGGAATTGAGAATAGTACCTGAAAGTAGTATAAAGCTCCTATTGCAACAGCAATTTGAAATTTGGAAAATCCTTGGATCCCAAATGCATAGCAAACCTCCTGAATTTCCATCTGAATCTATATACAAATAATCCATTTTGGCTTTTGGCCATAGGGCTTTAACATCTAACTCAAAGCATCTTGATAACTTGGTCTCTTGGAGGCAAACAATATCAATTTTTCTATCTACAATCAGACTTCTAATCTTGCCTTTTTTCTCCCTTCTACCCAATCCTCTGCAATTCCATGATAGAATCTTCATTAGAAAACAAACATAACTTTGAAGCCCCTCTAGACATAGCCCAACTCACAATCTCTGACCCTCTCCCATCCGCCCCTTGTCCTTCAGTTCCATTTCAGAGATCTTCTTTAAGGCCTCAGCTTCTTTCTCTTCATAATTAATCCCTAACTGCCTCCCCATTTAAAGAGTAGCGCGAGCTTCTTCCGGATTAATCTATCTTCCCCTGAACTGCTGCCATACGAAGAGGAGGACGCTAAAGCTGCCACTGCCGGCCTGAAAATTACTTCCTTAGACCCTTTCTTACTAGATGATGCACTTATCTGGTTCATATTTCTAACAAAACCAGAAAAACCACCGATTTGCTTTTGATTGCAGTGACCCAGATTCTTCTTCTCGCCC